TATTGCTTGAAGAGGAGAACGAGTCCCAGATTGCTGATGCGAAAGTTCAAAGGCGGAGATTTAGAGACATGTTTGACTCCTTTCAGATGAGTGAAGAATTATAAGGAATTCATCTTGTACTGTATTCTCACCGCTTAAAGCCAGTGAAATTATAAACGTTGTTTGAGCACTCCACAACAATTGCATTTAGAACAGAGTGGAAAACTCGAACGCAAATGAATTCGATTTTGAAAGCCGTCAAGAAGAGGGGAAGAACAAAGCTTATCCTTCCATAGCAAATCGTATTCGAGACAACATACACACCTCTCTTTAAAAAGTTAGTAAAAACGAGTACAATAATAAAAACATCTTTTTTTGTAACTCCACACTTATGGACGTATGTAATATAAAAAGATTATATTAATTTTGATGAGCTTCTTTGGCCTAGTTGGTGATTAGTGCAAGTAAAAACAACGTTTTTTCTTCACTGCTTTGCCCTACGTTTCGCTAAACTCCTTAGCATCCTCAGGGGCCAATCTTTATTTTAAATTAACAAACAAAAGAAGATACAAACAAAAACAATTAGGAACAAAAGTTACATTGAACATGTAGTTAATAAAGTCTCAATATTTGAATTTATCACGCAGCAAATATATACACTTACTTTCATATACGTATATTTGTTAACATATAAACACATAAACATATAAACACTAAAACATAAACACTTAAAAGCTAGAGCATTGTACCATTATCGTTTGGTACACTTGTCATACTGATTTTCTTGTCACAAACATAATAAATAAGTAGCCGCAATATCATCTGTGTCTTCTTTTGTATTCATCGTTCTTTTTCTATTCTCTAATATGCGAAGGCTCTCTAGTGTGTATCTTGTCCTCTCTCTCTTTTCTACATCTATTATTCTGGCGTTTGCAAGATCAGCTGTGTGACTGTTTTCTAACATATGTTGTGCGAGTGCTGTGTTTTTCTTTTCCTTTCTTATGTCCGCTTCGTGTTCTGCTAAACGGATTCCCAGTGTTCTTTTCGTTGTACCTATATATATTTTGTTGCAGTCTACATTTTCTCCTCCCATGCATTTCACTTCGTACACCACGTTGCTTTGTTGGTAGGTTTCGATCGGGCTTTTAGTTTTCGTGAAGATTGTGGACAGTGTGCGATTTGACTTGTACGCCAGAGTTATGTTTTTCTTATGTTCGTTTATGTTGTGGTTGAATTTGTCCGTCAACTTAGGTATGTATGTAACGCTAAAGTATTGTTTTGTTTCAGTTGTTGTTGCGGTGGGTGTTATTTTATTTTCTTTGTTGTTTACTTCTGTTAATTTTTGTTCTATTAGAGTTTTTATAAGGTGACTGGGGTAATTGTTGTTTGTGAGGATTTTGTAGATTTTCTTTGTGTTTTCATCTAAAAATTGTTTGTGGCTTATGGTCAGTATTTTATTTATCAAATTTTTTGCTGCGTTAATTTTATATTTCATGGGTTGCGAGGACAGAAAATTTATTATTCGTCCAGATGATATAGGCTTGGAGTACCAGTCAAGTAATATTTCGTCATTTTTTCTATGGATGAGGACGTCTAAAAAGGGGATCTTGAAATTTTCCTCTCTTTCAATAGTAAATTGCAGCTTGTTGTGGTACCGGTTTAATGTTTTCAGAATAATATCTACGTCGTTTCGTTTCACTATCGCGAAGATGTCGTCCACGTACTTAACTATGAATTTGATGTCAATGTTGTGAAGTTTCTTTAATTCCGAGATTGTATTATCCAATAAGTCGTCCATGATTATATCTGCTATAGTCGGGGAGAGGGGATTACCCATCGGCATCCCAAAACTTTGTGTGTATATTTTGTCATCGTACATGAAATAATTGTTATCTTTAAGACAGAAGTTTAAGAGATCCAAAAACTTGTTTTTTGGTATGTTTGTTCTAGACATAATTTGACTGAATTTGCTCATTATTATTTTGATGGCTAGATATGTGGGAATGTTGGTGAATAATGACACCACGTCAAATGATACTAATAAGTCCTCTTCACATATACGCACCTTCTCTAATCTTTCTTTCAGTCTCAATGAGTTTCGTATGTTGTAGTCCTCCGACGTTAAGTCACCTAAGAATTTTCCAATAAATTTTGACAGACCATAACACGGGACACTGACAGATGACGCTATAGGACGTAGGGGTAAGTTCGGTTTATGGATTTTTGGTAAACCATAGAGCCGAGGCGCAGTCGCTGCGGTGCAGGTAAGTTGTTTCTTTTCTTTAATATTTATATTTTTGTTTTTGTAAAGTTCGCCGACCAATTTATTATTCTGTTTTTGTAGTGCATTTGTTGGATCATTTCTTGCTATTCTATATGTGTTTTTGTCTCCTAGCAAGCTATTCATTTTTTCCCTATAATCTGTTTTATATATTGCTACTGTTTTGTTTCCTTTGTCTGAGTCTGTTATAATAATGTCCTCCTTGTGTTTTTGTAAAAAGGCTTTAGTTTTGTCGAAAGTGTGAAGTATGAATTTTTCCACTGGGTTATGTTTTGATTGCCGTTTGTATTGCAATATTCTGTTGCTTAGCCTGCTTCTCTCCATTTCTTTTGTTCTCTCATCCTCTATTTGGTGTATTATTTGTTCCATTTCGGCAATAATTTTTATCGGCTGCAGACTGGTACTTGTTGTAGGAATTGTAAATTTCCTACCGAGAGAGAGCAACCATTTCACTTCTTCGGGAAAATGTATGTTGGTTTTGTTTACGAACCAGTCGCTGTTTACACAGATACCCAGATTTTGTAATTGTTTATATTTTAGCCTCTCCAATTTTTGTGCTTGTATTGTTTCCTGTTCTTTTGCAACTCTCTGGCTTAGAAGGGTTTGGTCGGAAAAGAAAGAGTTTAAATCGATTTCACTAAGGTTGCGCTTTAATTGTCGTTCAGTATACCCCATTTGGTCTCTTGTAGATTTTATGTTTATATTTGTCTGTGTGATTTCTATGTTCAGTAATTTTTTGAGAAATAATCGTTTCGCCTTCTCTATTTGTTGCTTTATATTTGGTGATGTGGTTTCTATTGTAATTCTCGTTGCTGCATTTGTCAAGTGGTTGGGTATTATATCGTATTTTCTGCATTCCAGTAAGAATTTTAGTTGTGTTGTTAGTCTTGTTAGTTTTTGTTTTTGTTTGCTATAATGCTTTAGGTTCATGCATGTATCCTCCCCGTATTTATACTTCATATGTTTGTAGTAATGTCTCATGTTCCCTTGTTTCCTCCTTCGTTGATGTTAAAATAAAATAAACAAAAAGATCTTTATCGGCAGGCTCTCCGAAATATATTTAATATAATTTCTTATTTTCTGGCCAATTTTCTTCGTAAATTTTA